TCTGGAAAAGAAAATGTGAATGACAAAGGCATGGAGCAGCTAGCATGAATAAGATGGGATCCTTCAGTCTGGAAATGAGGTGGCTGAAGGGGTAGAGAGTGAAGGGGTTTTATGAAAAAATGGTCAGTGTGAACTGCTGGAATCAGTGAAGGTCACTCCACATTCTTGGGTGGGTGGCAGGAAGCCAAATGATTTTATCAAGTCACATGTTCAGAACACAGAAAACTAAGTGTTGTTTCATGTGACATGTCCTAGTGAGAGGATGTTCAAGAAGCTACAATTTTACATACATTCAGAGAAAGACTGGATAAATTCACAAAATAGAAACTCTGGGCTGAAAATGACCAAGGTCTTCATCATAATTTCCAAGTAAAAGTACCAGTATGTAATTTACTGAGCTGCTTATAGATTCCTACCTTCCTGTGGCAGGTATCTAATTTTTGTCACTGGTGAAGACTTAAATATCAGGTGAGACAGACATTCAGTCTTGTAGGTAGGAGCTTTTTTTATCACTACACTGGATTTCAGAGCACTGCAATCAGTGACAGAAACTATTTAAATTATTTCTTGTATTTATTCAAATACAAGAAATACTGAAGTGTAATATTATTCCAAGTTATCTGAAATGGGCCTAATGCATTACTCATGTTGAAATCTATAAATTTTAGTGTGAACTAGAGCAAGACTGATGTGCCCCAAAAGTACACAGTGTTCTCAGCAATATTTTTTGCCCCCACCTTCAAGCATTAGAAGCAACATCTATTTCTGGTAGGAGAAAAGTCTAGAGCAATGCCTTGGCATAACAAAGGTGCTTACTGTTAGGAAAAGCTCAATGTAGGTGACAGCTCTCTCAAGAGCCAGTTCTGAACTGGGGAATGAATACTCTTGAAAAGCAAGGATTGTCATAAATATTGCCTTCTTTTTGCTCAAGGTGCAAAATGTGCCTCCATCCTGCTTATCCTGCTGGCACCCCAGGGAATTGGACATGTCCGGACACTGAACTACTTTTCAAAGCAAGTGGGGCTGCTGGGAGTGCTCCTTTCCCTGAGGAACAGGGGACAGCACAACCATCACTTGTCTGCTCATGTTCTCTGGAGGGTTCCTGGGTGCCCCTGGCCATGAGAGTACTGTTCATGCTATGAAATCTTTGTGAATGAGAATCCATGTCCCTTTGCTGAATTCCACCGTTTTCCATTTGAACATGAAATCTCTTTGCAATTCTCCCGAGTTGCTTTCTGGCATTTTTATTTCAACGACGTAAGAGCTGCCTGTTACTGCCAAGCCCATAATTAAAGCAGTGTTGACTGGTAAGTAATGGGCTGCAAAAGGTGTTCCAAAAGATAATTAAGGACACATTCCAGATAAGCAGGGCATGAGCACCCTTTTTATGAGGTGTTAATGTCTGAAGACCAACTAGTGAAATTGATCTTGCCTCCTTCGGGCTGAAAGTTCTGCTCAAACATCAATAGCTCTGTACTGCCCTAGAAAATGTTTGATGTAGGGATTTCTGAAGGGTGTTTTTCCTAAGACTCCCCAGGCAGGCGCCTGGTGGCAGAGCCCTGCTGCACTGGGTGATTCAGCATATTATCCATGCTAGCATGACTTTGGGGCCAGCAAAGCTCCGGCTGCTCTGGAGGGAGAGAACAGAGCTGTTTCCAGCGCCCTGCATAGGATTGCTGCAAACCCTTTTTCGAGAGCCATTTTAAAGAGCACTGAGGAGAGTCTAATAATTATGTCGTTGCTCCTAAATACACTTTACTTACGTATCCTTAATTTCTGTTCTATTCTCAGCATATCCCACCTGTGATTTGGATTCCTCTGCAGCTGCACTTGTATCACAAAAGGCATAAAGGAACCCCGGCCGAATGGGTTTCCACATTTGGACTCTATGTAAATCTATAGCAAAATTCCGTGGATTTTTGTGGAAGTCTGAAGACAATCTGTGAACCAAATATATGCTGGTTTTGTTAAGCTGCTTTGGGTATTCCTGCTTCTTTTCCCACACTTCTCCCATTTCTCTATTTGTGAAATTTATCAAAAGTAGGGGTCAGAATACTATTTTCTTGATGGAATTCAGAGAGGAGATGCAGGAGCTGACAAACAGTTATTTTGATTATTAATGACATGCAACAGCAAGAGGATGCCAAGGGAACATGGGCAGCAAGGGCTGGTCACTGTTCTTGATTAGTGTATGGTCAAACTGCAGCAGAAATTAACTCTTATGTTAGGCCAAGTCCATATGCCTCAGCAGAAAAGGAGGAAAAGGAGGGGGAGGCAACGATTGTCATCTTCTTTCCTGGAATCTGACTTAAAAACAAAACTCGCAATCTCTATCGATTAGCATTGCAAAGAAAATCTCTGAAAATGAAGGGTGTAAAGAGGCTGCCTGGCAGAGTTCCTCAAACAATAACTCCGGGAAGTGTGAACTGCTCTCTCTATGCTAGGGGACGTTAACAAAAGCTGTTCTATTTGAGCCGAGCTAGCAGTGATGGACAGTCACTGTTAGCAAGCAGTGCAAGTCTGTGCAAGCCTCTGCTGGCTCCTTCTTATCTCTTCTGCACTGGCTGTGTCTATAAGGTGTGTATGTGTGTGTTGGAAGAGGTGGTTTCCCTGCTCTTTTGAGCTCAATATTGCAGGCTGCCTACAGGGGCAGCTTTGTGCTATAGTCAGTCCCATGAGATGATCTTTTCTGCTATGAAAACTGGAAATCCAGAAAGAAAATTTTGAGCATTTGTTTCAGCATTCCCTCTGTCCAGATTGAATAAGTAATCTCTCTTTGTACCCTGCAAACATCCTTGGCATCCTTGATCCAGTGTGGCATGCACCCCATGGACAATTGTATTGGAATTGCAGAGATGGAAAGGTCATATACAATTCCATACTTTATTGTGCTAGTTCAAATTGCGGCTCCCTGATTCTCTTTTACCCTTTGCCTCTGTGCATCCCTGTCCCATGCTGATACTTGTATTAAGTTCACCAAAAACTAAACTGGTCAAAAAAAAAAAAAAAAAGTGATCAGCAAGTGAAGGAGCAGCTGCATGAACTTTGCTAGCCCAGAGTGCACTGGAGATGGCTTGTGCATGACTGGGTGCAAAGCCCTGTGAGGACTTCATGGCAGCTAGAGGTGAACCCTGCGTGCGTAGAACAAGAATTAATAGCTGAAGCTGAATTTGCTGAAGTGAACACTCTCAATAAAACTATGCCCCCAAGCTTTATAAGTCTGCTTATTGTATCTGAGCACTCAGATACATATGCACTTCTGCTTGAATATATTATTTAGGCTTAGTGAGGGCATGTACCTTGCCTTATGGACCAAGCTGCTAAAGGAATCCAGTCTCCGGAGTACTAGACTCACAGGAGTCAGCCCTGACTGTCATCCCTGTGTGGAAGGACAATAATTTTTTGTTGTGAAGCACTGTGATGGTGTGTGTAATGTTAAAACCCTTGTGCAGCTCAACTCAGAAGTGGCAGCATGGATGATGGGTGCACTGGTTCCTACAGAATGCAAACAGTGTGCACCAGCTCACACACACTTTGTCCCTGTACCCTTCAGAATCACAGCAAGCTGGAGCAGGTCCCAAGTCTGAAAAATGAATGGGGACAAGTTGAGATGACAAACAAATGATGTAATGATGCTGCTGTTCTTGAACACCTTCAGTGACAGCCATTAGTGGCCTCATTTGACAAATTATTACACTGACTAATTGATTTGCTTCTCTTCTAACATCTAATCCTTTTCAGTGTTGCAACTGTTGCTCCCTTATGTCACTCTTGGCTCTCTTAAATGATATTTCTGGCCACTCTTTTGAATTAATATGCTGTTCATGATTTCACCTTGGGCTGATAGCACAGACCTTGCTTGTTCTGTACCTGACTTGGATGAGCAGAGCAGTCTGGAGGGAAAGCAAGCTCCTCCAGGAAAGGAAAACCTTTGCTGAGCTCTTCAGGGTGCACTCTGGAGGGAGACTGCTCCATCTGACCTGGATGACCTGAGTGTGATGAGGGAAGCTTTGTTCTTTGCTGTGAACATTGGGTGTGGATGCAACGTCTAGTAAAGCCACCAGCATTTTATTTCCTGCAGTAAAGCTGATGAGAAATGTCCCATGGATGGGAATAGGAGCAGGGTAACCAAATGGGGAAGACACGGACTTGTCACTTGGGTGCAGTAAGCTCTGGGATGGCTTGCCTTTAGGAGAAGGGTGGTATGGAGGCCTCCTTTCATTGGGGGAGCACCGGGTTTCCAGCAGAGCTCCAGGCCTGCAGTGCAGAGAGAAGGGGAACTCCCTCGGAGGGATCTCTTCATTAAATTATTTGCTCTCCATTTGAATTAAAGAAAGGTGGATAGGTTGGTGGCAGCAGCGGGGACTTCGCTGGGAGACACTTTGGCTCCTTGGATGGGGCGAGCCCTCATTATGTGTATTTTGGTGATGGGATGACAATGGAGGTGTGGGAGACAGCTCTGAGTCACCCTCGGAGCCGCAGAGGGGCCGGGCCGGGTGGGTGGGGGTCGCTAAAGGCCGGGGTGGAGGCTTTTAAGGCACGGAGCTGCCAGTGCCGTTACACCGCCCGCAGACCTCGGCCCGCATGGAGCTCGCCAGCCTGCCTCCCGCCAGCCTGCTCCCCGCCAGCCTGGCCCCTGCCAGCCTCCCCTCCGCCAGCCTGGCCCCCAGCCCCGGACCCGCCGGTGAGCTGCGCCGGGCGGGCAGGCAGCGGGGGGCTTGGTGGCGGTGCTGGTGGCGGTGCTGGTGGCAGTGTTGGTGGTAGCTGTGTTGGTGGCGGTGCTGGTGGCGGTGTTGGTGGTAGCTGTGTTGGTGGTAGCTGTGTTGGTGGCGGTGTTGGTGGTAGCTGTGTTGGTGGCGGTGTTGGTGGTAGCTGTGTTGGTGGCGGTGTTGGTGGTAGCTGTGCTGGTGGTAGCTGTGTTGGTGGCGGTGTTGGCGGCGTTGGGGCAGGAGGACGCTGCCGGGCCCCGCTGACCGCCGCTCCCCGTTCTCTCCCCGCAGGCGAGCCCCGGGCGCGCCCCGCGGGCCCCAGCTCGGGGCGGGAGGGCGGCAGGCGCAAGAGAACCACCTTCAGCAAAGCGCAGCTGGAGCTGCTGGTCCGCGCCTTCGAGAAGGAGCCGTACCCCGGCATCGCCCTACGGGAGCAGCTCTCCAGCCTCACCAACATCCCCGAGTCCCGGATCCAGGTGAGAGGGGCGGTCCGGGCAGGGAGGACGGGCGGGTGGCGGATCGGCTTCCCCGGCGGCTCGGGTGCTTAGTCTCTGCCGGTCCCGCAGGTGTGGTTCCAGAACCGGAGAGCCCGGCAGCTAAACCACAAGAAGTGCGAGGCCGCCGCCTACGCCAGGCCGAGCAAGCCGAAGCCGCCCCGGTGCGCTGGCCAGGAGCAGCCCCGGGCGCAGCAGGGCCCGGGGACAGAGCGGAACCTTCTCTGCCCGCAGCCAGGCTTGCCAGGAGGGAGCCAGAGCTTCGGTGGTCAGCCGCCCTTCTACTCGGGGCAGCCGTACTCAAGGCTCGACATGCATTTCAGGAGCTTGGATAACACTTTTGGAGCGCTGGGTCAGACCCCAGCTGACTTCGGTTTGGATTGTTCGGGAAGAGGGGTCCCACTAGGTGCGGGAAGCGTGGGGAGTGCCCCTCCGTTCTCGCTCCCTGTGCAGCAGGCACAGGAGTATCCGTACATGAAGAAATCCTTCCCTGAAGGCTGCTACTCAGATGCAGATGTTTTCCAGCCTTGCACAGATCACCAGTACCCAGCAGCTAAAGAGAACATGTACAGGAAGCCTGTCTTAAACTACTGCAGTGCTAACCAGGGCCTGGGTGTTGAGAACTGTCTGTATGCCAAGTCAAGCACTCCTCCCTTTGGGAAGGGCTCCACTTTCAGTTTTGATGGGGGGGAAGCTAAGCTTGAGCCCGAGCAGATGAGGCACAGCTCACCTCTGCTTGCAGCTAGTAATGCTAGTCCTCCTTTGGTACTTCCAAAGCACGAAGGGGGGTATCAAACTGCACTTGCCACTCCAGCCCCATTGTATGAGCAGCAGCTGCTGGAGACAGTAAATGACTATGACCCTCATTGGCTGGGCATGAGAAATGACATTTTGGGAATAGGGTTAGATTTGTTGTTTGAGAATGAGCAAAATGTGGAGCAAGGTCAGACAAAAAGTTACCTTTCTGCTTTTGGTGGCCAGAATTCAGTCTGTCATTTGGGTCAGACATGAAACTGGCAGTGGGTCCACTTGCCTGATGGAAAACGAATGCGATTTTTTTTTCTCTCAGTTGCCAGTGTTGTCTGAAGTGGCTAGAGGTTTTGCAGGTCTAGGTGCAGAGTGCTTGCTCTGAGTTTTGTGCCCCTGTATGGGAGGGAAAGAAAGATAAGCCACGTTAGGAAGGGCTCCCTGCTGCATGTGAGCTGCCTCCCCACCCCAAGCCATCTTTCACCAGCCCCTCGCAGCATTCCTGCACGTTTGGTTATGGGCAGCCTGACGTTAACCCGCATGCACAGATCTTCACAAGTGTGTCAGCACTGAAGAGCTCTGTGTTAGGCTGTGCTGCATTAATTCTGCCAGGAGGCTTAGCACTAGGGTGGTGTTTTGTGGCCTTACTCTACTGAGTTTTGCTTCTATTCTGGTCATTATTTGCTTATTTTAACTTAAGGAATCCTAGATAACAGACTTATTTATAGCTTTTAGTTGAGAAAGCATTAACACAAGAGGGGTACAAGCATGAGAAAAGCAGCCTTGGTGGTGGCAGGGGACATCTCACTGGGTGTGTTTGCATTTTAGGTATGTTCCTCATAAAGAACACTAATGGTCTTTTCCTGGGTACTTAATATATAGTGTTTTCATTTAAAAATGACCACAGTCTTTTAAAAGGCAATATTTTTGTGATTTTTGTGTAATTTGTTTGCAAATTGACTTTTTTTTTTTTTATTGTGATTGTCTAGTTGCCAAATTAAGGTTTTTTACCTTCATGAAATTGTAGAATTGCACTCAGAGAAGAATGTGTTTCATCTTTGCATTTGCACATGGAGCCTATTTTTAGAATTCTCAAGATCCATGGTTATCCAGAAAACCACAGTAATCATGGAAAGGTTCTTCATGTGTACCTCTGGAGAACTGCCATGGATGTGTGTTAAAGCAGTATTAGGCCTAGGATGCTGAAAACTCTACATGCAGATCTATTTTTGTGTTTTAAATGTGGCTCTGGAATATTTTAAAGTATGCTTTAGATTGTAATAATTTGCTATTAACTCAATTATTTTGTTTCTAGAACAAGAGAAACAATGAAAATAAAGCTTAATCACAGACCATTATTTTATTAATAAAATTGATATCCCTGAACAAAATGTCTATGGAGGTGTGTACACAAGAAGTCCAGAAAATTTGTCCTGACTTTTGTCAGTAATTTTTATCTGTGGCTGTAACTTTTCTGCCTTAACCTAAAGCATTGGAAGAAGCTCATGTATTACAGAACAGCTATATGGCTTCAGACAATAGCTGCAGGGCACTTTGAATACAAGTTGTATTTGAGAGTGAAGGACAAAGATTGTATTTATGATCGTATATATGACTCTTTTAGTAAATTTTTGGAAAAAAAAAACGCATTAAGACTTTTTTATTTACATATACCCTCTCCCTCATAATACCCTCCTAAGGAGAATGCTTCTTCATCACATAGGAGGTACTTCCACAGCCATGGTATAGCAGCCTCCCCTGGGCTTGCATGCCAACAGCATCTCTGCTGTCATGTGATCAGGTGATGCTGGGGCAGGGACCAAACGTGCTCAGCAGTTGAACTACTCTTCTACTGCCTGTAAAATACTCCTGCTTATAAAAGATGGGAGGATCTTACATGCTAAATATTGAAAAATGTATTTTCTTCTAGATAACTTGTCAAAGAGACAGCAAGGATCCAGATTCACCAATGTCACTTTTAGTCAGGCTGGGCTGACACTGCAGGGTGGCCCGAGCTCCTCCTCACGTGGATATGTGAAATCACATTCCTTTCTTCACAGCCGCCTCCTCCAGCAGCGGGAATAGTGTGACAGGCACGGCCCCTGCAAGTCCAGCTGGAAGCCTGGGAGGCAGGATGGGGCCAGCAGCACGGAGGGAGCAGTTCACGGCCGGACACCTCGTTAGCAGCCCTGCCCCTCATGGCTGGCTCATGCCGAAGGAGAATCACCCTTTTTCATTGAGCAGGGTCTGCACCACCAGCGCACCTCAGGGGACTGGCCTTCAGGCGGGGCACAGACCTGAGATAAAACAATGGCTCACTTCTCACCTGGGTACCTTGCCCTCTGCGTGCCTGGCCATGTCCCTTGGGTGCAGGGCTTGGTACCTGCAAAACGCCCCCAGGGCGTATTAGGGACAGGAGGAGAGGACATTGTGTTAAGCTGCACCAAGGGAGGCTTAGGTTGGAAATCAGGAAGAATTTCTTCACAGAAAAGGTGATTAGACACGGGATGGGCGGCCCGGGGAGGCGGTGGAGTCCCCGTTCCCGCGGGCTCAGGGAGCGCGGCCCTGGGCGCCCAGACGTGGCTGGCGCGGCGGTGCTCGGTCCCGGGGCGGGCTCCGTCAGCTGAAACCCCCACTGTTTCCGTCATTCCGTCACAATTCACTGCATGGAAAAGCCCTTCACAGCTTTTACCCTGTGACTTGTTCGTCCTCCCACAGTCCTTGGCAAGGATTTATCTTTTTATCCTTCTCGCAGTAATCGCTGAGGCCGCATCTGCCACTTCGTACGGGGGCTGCCCCGAGCCCGCGGGCAGCTGAGGGTCCCCACGCCTCCTCCGCTCCGGGTGCCGTGGGCTGACCCCGCCGGGCAGCTACCGCGGGCTTTCACCGAGCTTGCGGGAGAGTCACTTACTCCTGAACACGCGCATAGGGGCCGGCTCCCGGTTCCCGTCCCCGCTCCCGGTTCCCGTCCCCGCTCCCGGTGCGGGCTGCGCGGCGCCGCCGCCACCCTCCCGCTGTGGGACACCGCGTGCGCCCGCAATAGCGCTCCGCCGCGCCCGGAACTCCGCGCGCAGCCGCTGTTTCCGGGAGGGAAGCTGCGCAACGGAGCGGTCGGTGCGGGCACACGTGGGCCGGGGGGATAACACGGAACCGGGGGAACAGCACCGAACCGGGGGAACAGCACCGTACCGGGGGGATAGCTCCGAACCGGGGGGATAGCTCCGAACCGGAGGGAAAGCACCCGGCCAGAGGGGACAGTGTCGGAGCGGGCGCACGGCACGCACGGCCCAGGTGAGTGGTGGCCGCTCGTGCGGCAGGAGCCCTTGGCCGGCTGAGGCCCGCCTGTGCCCGCCTGTGCCCGCCTTTGCCCGCCGCTCCCCGCTCTCGGCCGCACCGCCGGGGCGCTGCCGGCCTGCCCGCGGCCCTGGGCCGGGAGTGCGGGGCCCGGGGGCTGCCGTGCCCGGGCAGGCCGTGAATGGGCCCCGTGAGCTGGGTGTGTTCGTGCTTGCACGGTGTTCTGTGCACACGTGCTCACGGTGCTCTCTGCCTGTGCCAGCTGCTCACACGGAGGAACTCGGCATCCTGCTGGTTGTAAACAGCTGTTGAACGAGGAAGATGGAGGAAAAAGAGAAAAAGAAGCATCGTGCAAAGCATAGCGGGCCAAAGGCAGAGAAGAAAAGGAAACGTTATCTCAATGACCTGGGAATAGGCGATGAGGAGAATGCACGGAAGAGAAACCCCAAAGCCTTTACAGTGCAGTCGGCTGTGCGGATGGCCAGGACTTTCCATCGGTGAGGAGTGGGAAGTGGCTCCGGAGGTGCAGAGGCGGCTGGAGGGGTGGGAGTTGCCTGGGCTTTCTTTGTTACTTTGTGTAGACATACACAGAGTGTGATTTTCGCTGGTGTGTCTGCCTGGGTTCATCATTCACCCAGTCACGCTGTAGTTTGTGTGTGTCAGGAGTGGGGTGCTTTGTGCCTCTGCTGCATTGTACACTGTGTTAATCTGCAGAAAAGCAGTATAGCTCCTCCGTGGGAGTTTAAGGAGCTATACCTGGTGTCTCTGCTCGTGCTCCGTTTTGTGTTCAAGCCTTTGCAAACACTGAAAACTTTCAAATAGCAAATGCCACTATCCATGACATTCCTCTATTTATTTATTACAAATTTCTCCTCAGAACTCAGGATCTGAAGACTAAAAAGCATCACATTCCCGTGGTTGACCGGACTCCTCTGGAGCCTCCTCCCGTGGTGGTGGTTGTGGTTGGCCCTCCCAAGGTTGGGAAGAGCACTGTAATAAAGTGTCTCATTAAGAACTTCACAAGGCAAAAGCTGGTTGAAATCCGGGGTCCTGTTACAATTGTTTCAGGTGAGAACAAAGATAGGAGAAATGGAGGTGCTTCTTTTTGTGCTCCTTACTTGTCTTGCTTTGAGAGCTGGGATGTGTTCATGTTCTCATGATTTCTGGTAATTTTGAAGATATCATTTGGTTGTGTGAACTGGCATATGTACAGTAAAAGAAGATTGGATAATTTTAAGCTAAAAAATTATAAACAGGCAAAACTAGAAACTTCTGCAGTGATGCATGTTGGATGACTTACATGCTAGACAAGAACCTGAGTCCCAGATACCCTGGAGGAACTCCAGGAATGTGACCTGAAAAGAAAACTGTCTGAATTGGTTTGCTCCCTCTGTTGCAGTTTTTGATGCTTAATTCTGTTTTCAGGTAAAAAACGCCGGCTGACCATTATTGAATGTGGATGTGACATTAACACAATGATTGACCTGGCTAAAGTTGCTGATTTGGTAAGTTAACATGGAATGTGATTTCTGCTGTAATTTATATTGAAAATGCTACTTTTGATTGGACTGCACCAGTGTCTGGTTTCTCTACACATTTTTTGCTATCAAAGGCAAAACTGTCTTTGCTTTCAAAGAGAACAAGACCTGAGCTCTTTGACAGACCTTATGTTCTGGAACAACCCCAGGACTTTCCTCATCCTGAGTGTGGGGGAAAGTAAAGTGTGTGTGTGTGAGGTGGGGGGATGTGAAAGAAGGGAAGTGCTGCTGAGCTCATTGCTAATGCAACTGGTAAACTTCTAGTGGGAGATCTTACTACAGGCCAAGGTGACACAGTGACTTCTCATTAATTTTATATGGTTAAACCATATAAAATCTGAAAATGAGTTTTAGTCAAGAAGTTTGCAACTATTGTTCAAAGTGGAAGTATGTATTAGTGTACTGGTTGGGGTTTTTTATGCACCCTGAGGACTGTATCTGTCTCCATCTGTTTTGTAGTAATGCAACTGATTTAGTGGGTGTGATCACTGTTGTAATTTACTTGCAAGTTTTGCATCAAGAAATTACACCAACTGATCCTGGGGATCCAGTGCATGATCCCTTTGTTCAGAATTTTACTTTACATGTGGATTTGGAGTATAATATTCAAGCTAATTAGGTATTGGGATCCTTGTCTAAGTATGAACTATGTAAATATCTAAATACTTGTGTACATTGATCTAGATATTCTTCTACTTTTATGTTTTCTACTGAGTAGGGGAAATGTACCAAACAGTACAAATACTTCTGCTGGTATATTTGGTGGATGTTTCAGATTCTGTGTGCACATGGTGCTGAGAATCTGTTTGGATTTATTGTTAAAGGGTTGAGATTACATCAGTGCTTGAAGATCTGTCATCAGTTCCTGTATGCTTTAAGTTATTTATTGTTAAAACCCTAAACCAACTTTGCTTCTATTTTCATGTGACTCTTGGCTGCTGTTTCAGAGCATTTTAGTGATGTGTAAAAGCAATTGCAACAAGGGAAAAAAGTTGGTTTTATTTATCAAAAGACTTGGCCTTAGCAGCATTACTGTATCCAAGACACAGATATAAGTGAAAATTTTCTTAATTTAATTTAATAAATTTTATTAATTTTCTAAGATGTTCCTGAAAATCTTGGAAGATAATCAATTTTGCATGTTTTAAATTCACCAGGTAGACACTTGTTCAGATCTTATAATAGTACTGAATGTTACTGCATTCCTAGAGCATCTAGAACATCTTTATCAGCCAAGTTCCATACTTCAGATGAAAAGCAAAGTTGGTTTTCAGGGTATATAAAAATAAAGTACAGAACCTTTTGCAAAATTTCGGTCCCTGAGAAGCTTAAGAGTTTAAAGTGTGGTCTTTGAAATAAGCTCATGTGGGCACTCTGGTAATGCTGTAGTGAAATGTGAATATTTTATTTACAGGTTCTCATGCTCATTGATGCCAGCTTTGGATTTGAGATGGAGACATTTGAATTCCTGAACATTTGCCAGGTACATGGCTTCCCCAAAATTATGGGAGTTCTAACCCACTTGGACACATTCAAGAACAACAAACAATTAAAGAAGACTAAAAAGAAGTTAAAGCACAGATTCTGGACTGAAGTGTATCCGGTATGACATTTAACATTAATTTTTTCATGTATTTTGCTTTATGGAAGCTAAATTAAAAGTGAGTCAATACTTAAGTGTTTATTATATTCTTACATCTTTTAAATAGGTAAGTGAACAATGCTGATACTGCATCAGATTGTTTACTCTTTCTTCTATTTGCTAAAATACTTGTGTGATTATTCTCTATCCCAGTGTGACGAGCTGCTAAATTTGCTACTAGGTTTCTTATGCAGGTGCTGTGCAAGGAGGATCTGCTTGTAGGTCTGTTTGAGGTCTTGAGGATGTGAAGAGTTTCCAATTAAGATTTAAGGGACAATTTTCATGTTGAAGTAAACTGGTTAGTTTGATCTTTCAGAACCAATTGTAATGTAATTTTCAGTTAAGATTTACAAATTATAATTCTGGGGTTTTTATGGGTATTAAATAGAATTTTTTGTGTTTTTATGTTTTTTTAATGTGTTTAGGGTGCCAAGTTGTTTTATTTGTCTGGGATGGTTCATGGAGAATATCAAAAGCAGGAAATTCACAATTTGGGGCGTTTTATCTCGGTTATGAAATTCCGGCCTCTCACTTGGCAAACGTCTCACCCGTATGTTCTTGCAGACAGGTGTGTGTTTTTCTCTGTTCTTTATTCTCAGCCTAGATAACACCTTGTTGTTTGAAAAAGCTGTGCTGTTAGCCCTCAGCTCTGTGTGTGAATGGGTGTTTGGTGTTCCCTGAGAGGCTTTGGGAAGGGAAGGCGCCTCTGCAGGTTTGTGCTGTTTGTGCTGTTCAGTTTTCACTTGTGTCAGATCATGTACACGCCTCTGGTATATTGTAAATACTTTTGAAACACAGGATAGTTGAAATAATCCTGCTTGTTGATGAGTATACTGAATTTCTGTGGAAAAGAAACAGCATTCTAGTGATTAAACAACAGCTGGTGAATTAGTCCTCTGAGTTCCCTGGAATATCCCTTCTGCTCTTCTCCCAGTATAGCATTTGATTCACAGTCACTTTGGAACATGAAAGTAATCTTGATGGCAGCTGTGCCTGCTTGAGAAATTACCTCACTTTTCATATTTTATTGCCAGAATGCTTACAGTTATGACTAAATTCCCACAATAATCCAAGGTGCCTTGAATGAGCCTTTTCTTTAGCTCTAATTCTTCAGGAAAAGTTGTCAGAGAAGCAGATAAGCATTGTGCAAAGTCCTGCAAAATACATAAAGCGAGGGAAAATGCGAACCCCACATTCTGTAGCTTTTCAGTAACATTGTTTTTAGTTGCTGTAAGTGTTGCAGTTTCATGATTGTTGGGTCAGCTTTGCAGCTGGGTTGTGTTCTCCATTCTCCTCCTTGGCTCTGTGCACTGCCTCCCCTGTGAGGTGTGGAAAGGAGTTTCCCTCTCCTGCCTGCAGACAGCCAGTCTTTTCCGTGGTTGGTTTTGTGTTGCTCACCCCCATTCTTAGGGAAAAGAAGGTGTTGTGTGGCTGCAGGGAATGTGACATGCAGCTGTTTGCCCTCTAAGGGTGATATTGATTAGAGGAGGGTTGTGTGTGCAAAGCCGATAAAGAGTAGTTAAAATGTGCTAAGAAAGCAATAC